AAGACTTAATTAAATTTGTCTTTCATGTGAAGACATTACATATTCTTGCAGCAATATATATTTTATTTGCTTTGAAGTTCTTCCAGTAAAAAGTCAGTTGAACATTTTTCCAGCACAAAAACTTTTAAGCATTTCTATACTGTATGATTAATTTATTTGAGCTTGATGGCAGCAGCTACATTTTGTGCAGAATTCAGACTTTCCAAAGTGAATGGCAAAAAATCAGGGGCCAATATTTGTTCAGAACTAAATTTGACAGTTGGGATCAGCCAGAAGCTGGCAGTGCTAGGGAGATCAACTCAGGCGCTAATGTTGCTCGAAGCAATATTCGCTCCCCTCCCCCACCTTCTACAGTCCTCAGCTGCGATGGGGAAGGGCAATAGTTTTTGAACAATAGCACAATGAGGAAAGAATTTAACATTTTTTTCTTAACACTATGTTTTACATTAGGACACTACAAAACAACTTGACTTCGTGATAGTGAAAGAGCTTGCACTACTGGTTAGCTTTGTGTTAAGAGATTTTCATTCCTTTTATAGTTCATGCAATACAAGTGGTCATTATCTTAAAATCAGAGCCATTGCACACCAAATAAGTCAAAAACAAAAAATTTGGCAGCATTAAACATTATTCATTGAGCAATTCTTTATGCAAGTGTCAGACTAGAAGCTCTCCAGCCTGTGTTTATTCCTTCCATTGCTGGGAAAACAAAAGTCTCAATCTGGAGCTTGAATTTAGAATGTAATATAGTACTTGGAAGACCTAAACTGTTTGGCATTTTTTTTACTTCAGTCCTCACTGAATAAAGATTTCCTTAATCAGGATTTCCATGTTAACAGTTCTATAGGTTTTAATAAAGTTACTTTTCTACACAAAATTTGAATGTGACAATCTTCTCCAACAAGCTGGGGAAGTAATCAGAGAATTACAGGTGCTGTGGAACCAATTATACTGAAGTCATTCCTGCTCAGAAAAACCTCACTATTATCTAAATTGCACACCTCAAAATATTCATTTTATTACACAATAAAATGTTTCACTATCTTTAGAGATCTTTATATAAAAATGATCTTCCAAATTCATGGTTGTTTGAATCTACCTCAAAAGTATGAAAACTGTATCTTTCTAAATCTTTCCCTTATGTTTTTGATACGTAACTCAGATTTCTCAGTAAGCACTCCCATAAATTGTTGGCCCTCTTCAAGAATTTCATTGTTTTGAAAATTACTTTCAGAGCTCTTGTGTATAAGAAACAGACCATGCTTTGGAGATGACAGAAGGGGATAAGATGAACAGTAGCCTAAACTTTTTTGCTATTTGACACTTGATATATTTTTCCTTCTAAAAATGAGGTAACTAGTGCCATTTTCTGTTTAAGAAAGCATAGTTTAGAAATATGAAAACTTTAGTTATGTAAACAGTGGTCTAGCTGAGCTAATTCAAAAGTGAATATTAAAAGCCTACATGCATAGGTTCACTTTTTATAAGTAGGTTACATTTTCATTATGTATAGTTCAAAGTAAACAGAACAAAATGTCAAATATATGCTAAGTAACAAATTATGAAGAAAAAAATCATTTGTCCATCTATATTTTCAACAGTTAAAAATAGAAGTGGAGTTGGTACTATTCTGTTTGCTCCAAACCTAGTACTTAAGGTTTTTTTTGGAGGGTGTCAGACCCAAGAATACAACAATAGAATATAACCCTTAATATCATTACATGGTTTCTATTTAACCAATGTTGCTGTAAGAAAAGGAACTGAAAAAAAAAAGTTTTACATTTCAGGGCTCACTATCATGAATCCCTGAGTCCACTACCACTGCGTCCAGATTCAGTGTCTACCTTTTAAATGGACGTTTCAAATTAGAGGGTTCAGACTGAGGCTCAAGAGTTGCAAGTGAATCTTTAATATGTGTTGCAAAGAGCTGCAGGAGACATTAAAACATGGTGTGATTTAATTATTAACCATTCTAAATTATTAACCAATCAGGATGCTTTTACTGTTATTAACCAATTGTAGTTGATAAAATAATACTTACTCATTTTGCTGTAAGTGTGTGTGTGTGTATTACATATATATAGATATAGATATATAAATTATAAAATAAATTCACACTACTGTGGCTCTTTTAGGTAATGTTGATTGCTAATTTGGCTCCTGAACCACTGAGGTCTGAGTAATACTGCTCTATAAATGTGTTTTAAGTTTAGTAAAATAACCTTTATATGTCTATAATTAATAGCATTTTATTTGAGTGGCCTGAATGAGAAAAAAAAAACTGCTCAAAGCTAAATAAAAAGATAAATGATTGCCTGTGTTAATCATGTTCTTCTCTAAGAAAGCTGTTACAAAGCAAATAAAATAAGATATATAGTTAAGTGGATTTATTTTTAGTTGCTGATCATATTATATTTTCATAGTAAATTTCATACTTAAAATCCCAGAACACTTGCATGTTGAGATCAGCAGTGGTTCTTCCCAAGTGAATTACACCTCTACCTCAATATAACGCTGTCTTCGGGAGCCAAAAAATCTTACCGCGTTATAGGTGAAACCGCGTTATATTGAACTTGCTTTGATCCACCGGAGTGCGTAGCCCTGCCCCCCCAGAGTACTGCTTTACCGCGTTATATCCGAATTCGTGTTATATTGAGGTAGTGGTGTATTCAGTCCAGGAACAGGGGTTGCTGGATCAAAATAAACAGGACTACTGACACGCTTAATGTTAAGCATAGGCCAGGTCACAACATGCCAATCCTACAAGCAGGTATGCTAGAGCTGACTCTTTCTATGTTAAGTTCTATATACTTCAGAAGTGTCACAGCTGATCTGGGGAGAGGGGTGATCAATAAGGTAACCACGGTATAAACCATATTATATAGAGTTAATATAAGTCTATACTTCTCATCCTTCTTTCAGAAAGGCAATACTGAGGTCCTCTTTGTGATTGCTGAAAACTCAAAGGCATAAGTTTAAGGGTGGGGCCCTCCATGTTCTGGCCCAATCCTAGCGCAGGGATCTCTACTTCCATTGCAGTTTTGGCTAGAAAAGGTACTCATTTCCTGTCCTAAGTTGTAGTGTAATACTGCTGTGTTGTTTAACACTTGCTGACTTCTATTGGTGGATGAAGTATCCCTGTATATGGTTTATATAAGTTTAAGGCCTTAACTTTGCAAGTACATGTGCCAATATGGAAAGAACTCTTCGTCAAATACCTCTAACTACAAAGGTATCAGCATCAATGGAACTCTGCCAAGAGTAGGGGGTCTGCATTCCTGTATCTATTTGGAGGATGATTCCATACACTTTTTCCTGAAACCTGATGCATTTTTCTACATGTTACTTATGTATTGTTTATGGGGTTGATTCCACTGCAAAAGTGTTTATGAACAAATTTACAGGTGTCTTATTTTCTGGAAGTATATATTTCTTCCAGTAAACTAGTGGCATTCACTGCAGAACTCCAATTCTAAACTTAAACAGAAATATTGCAGAGAAACAAAATCACTATAAATAAAGTGTTACTGAACTGCAAAAATAAGTTCTCATACTTCTAAGAATTATACCTTTCCAAAAAACTGATATATTGGTTAGCTGTATTTATTTGAAGAGCTGTATTTGACAATACAGTACATGTTGTCACACTTAGAGGCATATAGTGTAGAAGTATGGAATTGCAGTATTTTGACTTTGTACCTTTCATGTATTACAAAAGGCTAAAAAATATAGTACCACTTAATTTTTTTTAAATGAACTCATTTTTTCACCCATGACACAAACAACCAGCAAGCCCTTCCATCCCACAGTCTGGGATAGCATAATTCAACAAATTATACCAATGTAAAGATATTTTAAGCTATCCATGCCAAATACAAGTTCAGTGGTGCAGTCTGGTCTTAATTATAAATAGCGTTATCCTGAAAATTATTGCAATATTTAATAATGACCACTGATGTTTGCTTACCAACATACAGGCCTAATACAACTATCTCAAGGGAGAAAATACTTATGCAGTATTTAGACACAGTGAAACCATTTAGTGCTATAAAACTAACTTGTCAGATTTAAGACTATTTATTGCAACTTGGTTCTGCCAATGTGCTGAGTATCTGTCAAATCACATTGACTTTAATGTAAGCTGAGGGCACTCCAACCCTTGCTAGTGGCTCAGGATCTCTTGCCAGATAAACTACAGCCTTTCAACAAGAATGTCCCTTTTTTTTTTTAGTGAAACGGTGCTAATTGTTACAGAAAATTTCAGTGATTACTTATAATTCCTCAAATAGATAAACGTTCAATAGGAGTTGAGGGCGTTCAAGACCTTGCATGATTGGGCTCTAAGGCCAAGATCCCTATAATCAGATTTCCAAAGTGGACCACTGCAACTCACTGCAAAGTTAATTCAAGTTATAACTCAAGGGCTGCCCCTAACTTGAGTTTTAACAGTTAGTATTTAAAGAACAAAAACAAAAAACCTAAATTTGGGGCCATGCCTTGCCTGACAACATCCTTATAAAAACTGAGTATTATTTATATGTAAAAATTACACTATTACTCTTGACACACACACACACACACCCCGCATCCCAAACACCACCTTAATTGTGTTTCAGATTCTGAAGATTCCCCTCCCGGCTCAACTTTTTTTCCAAACTATAAACTCCAGGAAATATTGGATTACCATTTGATCACCTCAATTCTGAACACCTTTAATAAATATGGATAAATAGATTAAATACAATTGGGAAATAACTAAGTTAACTTTTTCTAACCATCATTATCTTCAAAAAGGCCCAAGTCCTGCCTCTAATTAGATCTTCTACTTCCAAGAGGTATTGTATTGTACATACCTGTTTTTAAAAACATCTACTTGAGAATACCAGATTATGAGATTGTAATGCAAGCCATTTATCTATTGCCAAAAGGATTCCTGGGGAAGCTATGGACTTAATTCTGCAAACCTTACTCATGCAAGTAAGGGTTTGCAGCATCAGGCCCAAATTATCCGAACGCTGATTCATTAGAAAACAGTTAATTAAAGCTGGAACATCTTATTTATAGCATATAAATCAGCATATAGTACAACTTTCTGGAGCTCACATGACAGGGATCTGAGGTAGTGCATTTAAAGAAATGTTAAAAGCATGGCACATACAGCTTCACACCTTGGCCTGCAGGTGCCATCATGTCTAAAGGGATACTGTCAATTCAGGGTTTTTTTTTTTAAAAGTTTCCATTTCTGATAGAACAGTATTAAATATTGCCAAATTCAGCCAAATGGCTGGACTCGTGACGAAGACAGATCCACATCTGGTATTCTTCCCATCCCTACTGCAATCTACTCCGTTTTACATCAGTAAGGTATGGCCCCTGGGTTCCTGACCAAGTTGTCAACATAGCCCTTCAGATGGACAAACATTGGATAGCTGATTGAAAAGTATCAGTATTCTTTATAATGTGATACCTAACACTTTGCTTCCCATACTTTGGGGTACTGTTTGCAAGCACATAACTCAAAGCAGAAAAATGTGGCATTTTAGAGTTTTTTTCCCCTTAATTTATTATCCTTTTTTGTACATTCACCAAAAGGCAAAGAAACTCATGTGCTTTAAAATACCTAATCAGCAGCTTTCAGGAACCAAATCAGAGAATTTTATATTAGTTTGTTGTGCTCTTGGAGATCCAGAGTGTAGTTTGTACAAACAATGGTCAACCCCAACCTATAGTATACCCATCATCATCATCACCACAGCAAGTGGAAATATATATGGCTATCCAGTAGAGAGTGTTGAACAAAACCAGACACCTTAAAAATATTGTTCTCAAAAAGTTAAATTGCATGCCATGGAACATCTGCTTGCAGTATTTGGAAAGGAAGTGCCGTGACTGTCATTTTAGTCTTATTATGCTATGAGGGAAGGGTGGAGTGAGCCATCGTCATCAATCCTCTTCAGAACTGGATTCCTCCTCTTGGTCAGAGAGCTCAGCAACAGGGAAACGCAGGATAGCTGCTACCCCTGTCAGCTGGCCAAGCTGCTCCCCAGACACATGGAGGCTGGAGAATATGCGCACTGTGCCCATGTTCTCCCGCACACTATCTACCAGCCGCACATATCGGCTGCGAGAAGCCACATCCTGGTGCCTGAAGAGCTCATCACTGATCAACAGGGTATCAATGGCCATGGCCTCATTGGCTTTTTCCACATGTTTGAGGCCATAAAAAGCCCGATCAGGCTCATGTTGCAGCATCTTGTAGAAGTCATCCAAGGCTTTGACCTCACCAGCTGCTTTCGTGTCAGAGAGACGGCTGGCCACAGCTGGGTCACAAAGAGCTTCCTTCAGCGCATATTTATGTCCGGAGGAGGAGTGGACCTACAATGATAAATGTTATAGATAGAAGAAAAAATGGATCATTTAGTCCATGCTGATTACTTAGTCTTATATGTTTCACTTGTGAACTGAAATTTTCCATCGTCAGTCTTTTTCTCAAGGTGAATTTTTTTCAGAAATATTGAACAAAATCCCTTCAGCTACATTTGAATTTAGCAAGGATAGAAAAAAATGTTTCTATCATTCAAGATTTGTTTTAAACATGCTGGGATCTTGAGCACTGGCCTAGAGCAAAATACATCTGAAACTAGATATCAGAGTAATCCTCAATAGGAACTAGTGCTTTTGCTACATTTGAAAAAAAAGAAAGAAAAAAGAAAAGAAAGATCGGTTGTTTTTCTCTCTAAAGTTACATCTCTGAAACGATATACCAACTGTTCAGAAAAGGAAAACCTGCTAAGTCTACAGATATATGCTTCAGATGAGGCATGCATTGCACATGCTGCAGATGTAGGAAGTGTGCACTTTTCAGTAGTGATCGGACCCTGCTCCTCATGCTGGTCATCACTGCAAATCTGATAATACCTGATACATATCCATGTTAAAACACTGAGTTAAAACAAATGCCAGTTTCATACTTCTGAATCTATTTTTAATGCACTGGGACCTCCAAGCTCCACTTGGAAGCTTGATTTGGATTAAAGACCTGCTTAATCTAGGAAGCCAGAAGTAGTAAACTCAGGAAGCCAATAAGATCTGGATTTTCTTATTTTTTTCATTCGCCTTTAAAACATACCGAAGAAGTCAGATGAAAAATAATTTGTAAATGAAACCTTAAGGTCATGCAGACGACAAAAGCCAAGAGAAACAAATATTAAGGTTTTCAACAGCAATGTTAACTCAGTCCTGCCAGTTACAGGTATGTTTTCGTTCGCTTTTTTTACAGCGGCATTAAATCTGTCATTAAACACTCATGATTAGGGCCCTACCAAATTCACAGCCATGAAAAATGCATCACAGGCCTGGTCTACACTACGACTTTAATTCGGATTTAGCTGCGTTAATCCGAATTAACCCTTCACCCGTCCACACTACAGAGCCAGTTAATTCGAATTAAAGGGCACTTAAAATCGATTTCTGTACTCCACCTCGACGAGCGGAGTAGAGCCTAAATCGATTTTGTTAATTCGAATTAGGGTTAGTGTGGCCGCACACCACCGAATTACTGTGTTTAAATTAATGGGGTAGTGTGGCCGCACACCACCGAATTAATGTGGTTAAAAACCGAATTAAGGTGCTTAGTGTGGCCGCGCACAATCGAATTTATACAACCTGTTTCCCAAATTCGAATTATCTAAATTCGGATTAATCCTGTAGTGTAGACATAACAGACTGTGAAATCTGGACTCCCACTGTGAATTCTGGTATTTTGTGTGCTTTTACCTTACACTATATAGATTTTACGTGGGAGACCAGCGTTTCTCAAACTGGGGATCCTGGCGGAGTAGCAGGGGGGTCGCAAGGTTATTTGGGGGGGGGGGGGGCTACCCTTACTTCTGCACTACCTTCAGAGTTGGGTGGCTGGAGAGCGACAGCTGGTGGCTGGGCACCCAGCTCTGAAAGCAGTGCAGAAATAAGGATGGCATACCAAAACCATACCATGCCACCATTACTTCTGTGCTGCTGCCTTCAGAGCTGGGCAGCCAGAGAGTGGCAGCTGCTGACTGAGGTCCCAGCTCTGCAGGCAGCAGTGCAGAAGTAAGGATGGCAATACCATACCATGCAATCCTTACTTCTGCTCTGCTGCTGGCGGCAGCTCTGCCTTCAGAGCTGAGCTCCCTGCCAGCAGCTGCTGCTCCCCAGGTGCCTAGCTCTGAAGGCAGTGCCACCACCACCAGCAGCACAGAAGTAAGAGTAGCAGTACCGCAACCCCCCCTACAATAACCTTATGACACCCCCCCTCCCCAACTCCTTTTTGGGTCAGGACCCCTACAATTACAACGCTGTGAAATTTCAGATTTAAATAGCTGAAATAATAAAATTTATGATTTTTAAAATCCTATGACCGTGAAATTGACCAAAACGGACCGTGAATTTGGTAGGGTCTAACACAACACGACTGAGCTGACATTCCTGCTGGAAATGTAATTTCCCAACTGTTGTTGTTTCTGCCATCGTAATGAGCCACTATCAAGTTTTTGTTGTTTTTTTGGGGGGGAGGGCAGGAAGGGGGAGGTTGCATTTAATTATCTACTTCTTTATCTAGTCTAGATTTAAATATCCCAAACGAAAGGACACCTACATTCCTTACTAGCCCATCATTTAAGATCACACCAAAAATACGTTTCTCTTGATGTTCAGCCTAAGTTTTCTTTGTGTTAATGTCACTTTACTTATACCACCTTTTTGTCACACTGTATAACTCTTCACTCTTTTTGGATTTCCTGATTTAAGGGTTACTTATCTACTTTACCTGAAGGAATTTGGACCGGTTCTCAAGCAGCAGCTTGTTGTCAGTCTTGACTGCTTGCTGGAACATGTAGTCACAGAACTGTTCTCTTACGAATCCCGGACTGGCCACCAGAACACATTTCACAATCTCAAAGTTGATATGACGCTGGATTGCCTGCACCACCTGCTCATAGAATCTCTCCAGCGCTCGGTCATGTTGACTGCAATTACCCTTTCGTTTTCTGGGAATGTTCACTTCAATCTTGGCCCGGGTCAGCGTCATGCTGGGGGTAACGAGACAGATATGAGCCAGACCCTCCTGCATGACCACTGCTGCCACGTCAGCGCTCCAGCTTGGGTCGCAGGCCTGCTCAATGCGCTCCAGCACCACACTATCCCACTGCTTCTTGGCTAGCGTGAACTGGCGATTGGGCTCCAGCTCAATGGTGTGGTAGGCTCCCATCTTGACGTACTCATTCTCCTGGATGTTGGTCCCCTTGACCCGCAGCTGGCAGGCCTGCGAGTCGAAATCGATGGTCTCCACACAGAGGGTGAGGGTGGTGCGGATGCGGTTGCTGCCCACGCTGCCCGTGGCGGACTCGGTCTGCACCTTGCGGATGGTGGATGCCCGCAGGCTGTCACCCACCTGCAGCAGATTGTAGGTGTGCCATATGTCCTCGGGATCCTCGGGGATCAGGGTCACCTGCCCCGCGTTATCCTTCTCGATGTCCTTCCTCACCAGCTTCATCCTGCCGCTGCCCGGCCTGCCCCCCTCTGATCTCACCAGGAAACTGGAGGGCACGGCGCCCCGCACTCAGGGCAGGCGCAGGCTCCTCAGCCCACGCCCGGGCCCTCTCAGCGGGAAGGGGACGGGGAAGAAGCCTCTCGGAGGAGACACGTGGGACGGGGCCGGCCGGCTCCAGGCCCTGGCACGCCGGACCCCTCACGCTAACGGGCTGACAGCCCCGCTGAGCCTCGCCGATCCGAGCGGCGCTTGACGACACTCCACAGTCGGTCAGTCAGCGGCGGCGGCGACACCGGGACGCGCCTGCGCACTGGCTGGGGACAGGACGAGGCACAGTCGGGAGCAGCCCGGCGACAGCATCGTCTCCTCGCGTACGCGCCAGCTGGGCAGCTCCTTCACACAGCGCATGCGTACATTGCCGACCCGGAGCGGAGACGTTGAGACTACTTCCGGCGCACTTACGTAAGCTTGCTCAGGGAGCCCGCGGCGAATCCTACTCACGCATGCGCATAGAAAAGCCGGCGCCCCCGCCGCTGCTTTTAGTGCATGCGCAGAATGTGCCCGGGTCGGGAGGAGCGAGCTGGGGGCCAGGGCTGTGGTGGACGTTCGGGGCTGGGTTTGGCTGCTACCGAGTTAAGGGCGGCGGTCGCGGCACAGACAGAAGCGGGATCAGGGTGGCGCACGTGGCCCTATCGCCGCTGTTCTGAGGGGGGCTGTGCTTGCCCGTCAGGCAGCTCCTGACCCAGCGCGTCCCCCTAGCCCGGTCCCAGCCCCGCGTGTGACCCAGCGCGTCCCCCCAGCCCGTACTTCCAGCCTACCCTGCCCGCAGCCCCGCGTGTGACCCAGCGCAGCCGCCGCCCTGCCGCCTCCTGCCCCTGAGTAGTTGCTGGCTCAGTCAGGGCTGGCCCCGCGGGCCGTGCGCGGGCTGCGGTACCTGGTGGAGGGAGCATCTCCCGCTGGAGCCTCTCTCGCCCTGCCTGGGTGCACGGCCTTGCTCTGTTCCACTTCCCTTTGGCACAAAGCTAGAGTAACACCTTGGTCAGTCGGGCCCACAAGCATAGCCACTGACTCTTCCATTTAATAGTGATTAGTAACAATACCTACATTTTATACAGTGCTTACTATCAATAGCTCTCGAAGCACTTTACAAAGGAGGTTAGTATCATTTCACAGATGGGGAAACTGAGGTGCAGAGAAGTGATTTGCCCAAGGTTACTCAGTAGTTCAGTGGCAGAGCACCCAAGGCTCCTGAGTGCAGTTCTTGGGCTCCCACAAGCTGCCAATATTACAGTCCCCACAACAAGCCAAATTTGAAGACTAAGTAAGGTAAATATGAAGCTAGATTTATGGCTTGTGTTACACAGGAGGTCAGATGACATGATCACACTGGTTCCTTCTGGCCTCAGAATCTATGAGAGAAAGATGAAACCATGTCTTGGGAAATGTTAAAAAGCAACATTGTGCCTACTAGAGCAGTGGTTTTCAATCTTTTTTCATATGTGATCCCCTAAAACTTTTCCAATGGAGATGGGACCCCTTTGGAAATCTTAGATATAGTCTGTAGACCCCCCTAGCAGTCTACAGGTTGAAAGCCATTGAGCTGGAGGAAGCAAGATAAACTATATTAAGTGCAGATCATTCACATAAGAACTCCTCTGTGAATAAAATGTCAGGGTTAGTAGCAGTTAGTTTTTATTTTCTGGCTGTCTTGGTTCTCTCCTTGTGTGTATGCATAGTGTAGCAATATATATATATATATTGAACAAGTTGCAGAATTGGGGTGTTTTTTAAACAGTAGTATTGGGAAAAAATATAAGGAACTTTTTCCTAGCATAGAATTAAGTACATTTTAAAAAAATTCTATGTATATCTTGAATTCTAAAGGTTGTTATGATATAGGCAATCAAATGGACTCAAGTATTTGAGAAACTCAGGCCCTGAGACACTGGACGTACTCAGCCCTCATTTAAGGCCTTGTGTACATGGAAAATGGAATTGAAATTAGAGGTGCAGTTTGTACTTTCAGGTATTTCAGTGCAAGTCTGAGTAGAAAACTCTTATTTTGGAATAGTTTGTTTATATTAAAAAAATAACTCTTAGCAAGTCACAAGACCAGTTACACAAAAAGGGTAGAGGTCTGGATCCTTTGAAAAAAGGAAACTGAGAAGCAACCACAGTAAATCAGAGAAACCTGGAAGGAACAGAAAGGAAAGATGTAACAATGATTGCTAGTATCTCTGTGGACAACAACCATCCAAGAAGTGAGGGGACAGGAAAGGCTCTCAGTTTCTCCCTCTTTGTACCTGCTAGTGGAGGGGATTACCTGTTGCACCCCTCTAATGGGGTAGCAGGGAGCATACTACTTCTGTGCATTTGGGAGGTCTGGGGCTATGCTTGATAGACACAATGGAGTCAAAACATTAGTTTAATCTTCAAAAGGAGCAGTTAATGCTGAAAGTGTAATTAAAACCAGAAACTGAAAGGGCATATAAATGAATCAGGTTGTCTTTTCGTGTTACTAATCTTTTCCTGTTCTGTCAAAAGCAGGCATGGAAGCATCTAACAATAAAGTTTGAAAACCATAAGATATTTGGAAGAAAAATATCAGAGGTACAAGAATTGGGGAGACAGCTAATCCAACACAAAATAAGCGATATGGACAGGCTCTAATTGATATTCTTCCATCCCTATGATTTCTTATGTTCTTGTAATCTAGATTTATATTGATACAATGAACAGATAGATAATACTAGAGAACAGATACTTTTTTTTGTCGTGGGGAAAGCATAGTCCGCATCCACTCTGAGGCTTATGTTATGTGATATTGTATGTGCATCTAGTGGCTAACATAACAGTGCACAGTCAATGCTCTTATAGAAGCCACAGTATATGTATACTAAAGCAATATTGATAGTAAGAATATGGGCCAGAATTTTCAAACCTGTGCTCCTAAAATTAGGCTCCTAAATTACGCATTCTGAGCATCTGCATAAATATTAAAGAATCAAGTTAAATATTTTAAGAATTAAACTAATACAGCTTCAAAGGACAACCAAACACATTTTAGCCTCTTTTGTCAACTTCAGATATTCTACCAACATCTAAAGTTAGCCAGTCATATGTCACTATTCACTTGTTCCAAGATCTTTGTGATAAATACTAATGCTCTCATTATTTAATTAAAAAATTAATAACATCACTGAAGAACAGAAAAGGATCAAACTGCTAGGTCCCATATTCTACAAATCTTTACTCACCTGAATAGTCCTATAGAAGCAAAGGGGACAACATGCGTGAGTAAGGGTTACTTCCCTAGGTAGATTTTGGAAGTGCTCTAAACAAGTATTGTTCCAGATGATTGAAGGGTAGCAAATATTGTATTTGTGTATAAAATGGTTCTGGGGGGTATTACAGACCAGGAAGCCTTACCCTGTACCTGGCAAATTGGATAAACAATTGAAAATCAAATAATAAAACACTTGAAGAACATGATATGATAGCATCTAGCCAACAGGGTTTCTGCTAAGGAAAATAATGTCTCATTAATCTCTTAGAATGCATCATTAAAGTAGTAGATAAAGAAAAACCACTTGACAATTTATTTAGATGTATCAAAAGACTTTTATCAGGGTCCCTCAGAAAAGACTATTGGAGAAGTTAAGTAGTCATGGGATGGGTGGTGAAGTAATGTCATCGATCAAAAACTGGCTAGAAGACAAAAAGTAGGATTAAAAGGTCAATTTTCATCATAGCAAAAAGTGAATAGCCGGGTGCCTCAAGGTTCTGTACTAGGTCCAGTGTTGTTTACTATATTTATTAAGACCCTGGAAAAGATAGGGTGACTAGTGAGGTGGAAATATTTGCAAATGACGCAAAGTTATTTAGGTTAGATCAGGACCAGAGGGGACTATGAGAAACTTCACAGAGATGAATGGGCAACGTGATGGCAAATGGAGTTTGATGTTGACAAATGCAAAGTAATACAAGTGCAGGAGACAGTGTAAACTACTGCACTTTAGAAGGTTCTAACTTAAATGTATCAACTCAGGAAAGGATGCTGGGTATCACTGTATACATCTCAATGTGTAGCTGCAGTCAAAAATGCAAATTATGTTAGGTTGCATAAGGAATGGCGGGGGTTGGGGGGGAGAACAATAGAGAAAGTATTTTAAGCCCTTTATATAAATCAATGGTGCAGAGAAGAGTTATGAGAATTACTAAGAGGCATGGAAAAACTCATGTGAAGAGAGATTGAAATGAATGGAATTATTTAATTTAGAACTGAGATAAATCAGAGGAGATGTGCTAGAAGTATATAAAATAATGAACAGTGCTTCATTTCTCCCTGTCTCCTGATACGAAAGCAAGGGAACATGTAATGAAATAAAAAAGTGGCAAATTCAGAACTGATAAAAAGAAACATTTTTTTCACGCAACACATAGTTAGACTGAAACTCTCTGCTCCTGAAAGTCTTTGAGGCCAAGAATTTAGAAGGATTCAAAAAGGGATTGGATGTTTATACATATCAGAATCTCCAGAGTTATCATAAGGAATAGCAAAAATTCTGAAAGGTTTGTTAAACCTCATGCTTCAAGGTTTAAGCCAATCTCTATTAGAGCTCAGGATGAGACCTAATGGGGGGCAGATTATCCCAAATCTGCTGCTGTGGAGTTCTTACACCCTCTGAAGCATCTAGTGCTGGCTGCTGTTGGAGAAAAATACTGGACTAGATGGACCTCATTTCTGATTTGGTATTACAGTTCCTAAGTTCCTAAGACTGAGTCCTAAGTATCACACAAAGGCAAAGGATACTATTTAATGGGGTTTATGAATAAGAGGCCTAATGTTCCATTCTGTAAACACTTACATACATGCTTAACTATTAGCATGTGTAATCCCATGCAAGTTAATGGGACTACTCACAGGTGTAAAGTTAAGCACAGACGTAACTGTTAGGATTGGGTCTTATATTTGTTCATTCTTTTCAATTACAAAATTGTACAATCTAGGTGGGGGTTGTGTTCAGTTTTTCTTTAGGAGTTTCCTCCCACCTTTTTCTAATATTTATGGGATATCCATTTTCCTGAACCTGGAGGAGAGTTT